TATATATATATAAATATAATATATATTACATTAGTCATTTATATAATAATAATAATAATAATATATATATATATATATATATATATATATATATATATATATATATATATATATATATATATATATATATATATATATATATATATATTGTATGAATATACATATGTATTTTAGTTACATGTATACTTTACGTATATGTATATTAGATACATATATATTGTACATATAAAATGTATATTATATGTACGTATACTATGCATATTATATGCATATTATACGTACACACTAAGAAAAAAAGGTAGAAATTTCTACCCGTAGAGGTACTTCGTATATCCGACCCTATGGGTAGAAAAATATACCTTAACTTTTTCGGGTGTTAAAATATACCCTTAACAAGGGTATAATAATCGACCCAAGATTTAAAATCTTCCCTAGATTTAGGGTAGAATTGTCTACCTTCACGGGTACTTCGTATATCCAACCCTATGGGTAGAAAAATATACCCTAACTTTTCGGGTGTTAAAATATACCCATAACAAGGGTATAATAATCCGCCCAAGATTTAAAATCTACCCTTTTGTTTTGGGTAGAATTATTTATGTTTAAATATCTTGCAAATTTACATTGCCGTTTTAATTTAATTGCGCAATCGTTAAAAGTATGTTCAGTTAAAAGTATTAATAGCTCAAACTATATTTCTTAAAAGTTTAATTAATTCAATTGTATTTATTGAGGTAAAAATTCGATTTTTTAAAGTTATATTTTTTTAGAAATAGTCTAGTTTTACAAAAGTTTGTTCAAAATTCTTTGACTGAATGGTGTTGCTATGTAGTTATTTACGCCACAAACATGGCTTGCTACGAAATCTAATGTTTTTTTAAGTTTTGTGTCAAATGCAATTTCATAGACCCAGTAGGCTGCAACCAAACTTGTAACAGCACTTGATACCGTCTTGGATTTAACTATCACTATGCCGTCAAGCATTACGTTTATTTCGGCATCATCAACGTTAAATATATTTGTTTCGCCTGCACATCTGATGGTTATTAATGGAGTGGAAACTTGTGGATTCTGTAATTACAAAAATGTATTAATTACTAAGTACTAATATAATTAATGATTAATAATATCAAAATCGTTAGTAATAATAAAGACTACAAACTTGATATACAACCTTATTTATAGAAATGAAGCGATCAATGTCTTCACCAAATACAGCTGGTAAAAGAAGCAAAGCAGCCGATATTTTCTGACCTGCAATTATATATGTATACGATAATAGGTGCAAAGACTATAAAAAAATTATATTATATATTTGTTATATACCTTCAATATCAACATTCGATGATGCACCAACACCATTTAATAAAATATTGACGGTTTGCAAAAATGATGTTTTTTTTATTGAAGGCAACTTTGATTTGCAAATTTCCATAATTTTTTCTGAACGATTTCGAAGAAACTTTGTTTTCTTAATTTTCAAATCTAATCCAGTGATTCGCATTGCTTCTTCAAACAACTAAATGAGATAGCATTAATAATAGTTTATTATTTATAGTAAAAATATGTGACTAATATTAATTGCAATAATTATAATAATAATTAGGAAATATGCAAAAGGTTTGCAAAAAATGAAAAAGTAGTCAATAAACAAACAGCAATAAATATTTATAGTTCATTTATTGAAAACACAAAGATAACCTCAATTTCCATTGCTAAACAAGGAAACCTTTGCAATGACTTGTGTAGTGTTGGTTTTTATAAAAATTCGTCTTGATACATAAGTCCGGCTCATTCTATCAGATATAATAATCGTGTCAGGATTATTTTTACTGTACTCCTTTAACATTAATGTTACACGCTGCTCTACACTTGAAGGGTCTTCTAAACAGTCATTTGCAACCTGAAACTTTATAAATCAGAATACAAAAAATTAAAATTATTTATTAAAATAATACTTAAATATTACCTATCATCAAATACTACCTTAAAAGTAAATAGCTATTACAGTTATTTATTGCAATAAAGAGTCAATCAAATTTGGGTTGACACTATCCTGGTATAAAATTAAGTTACCGTACCTCACATCTAGTTATCTTTACAGTTTCATTAATATCAGTCAACTGACTGTGAATCATTTTGGACGCAAACTTTTTATGAGCTTTAACAGACTCATCATTCGAATATTTAGAACGTTCTGATTTAAATTTAGTTCTTAGACTATCCTACCAAGTGGCCTAAAATAAAGAACATTAACATACACATTTTTACTAATCTAAATACACAATTGAATAATGTAAACTTTGAAATAAATTTAAAAAAATTATACAGTTTTACACCATAAATATTTGTAACAAACATTATACTTTTTAAACCATTTTTTTGCAGAAAATTTATTTCAAAAATCAGACTTAACAAGACTATTTAATTAAACACTCACATATAACTTATAGGATTTGCCTTTCATAACTATGACACTGTCACATAGATTTGGATATGCTCGCACAATAGCAGAACATACGCTATTGTACATCACAGATGATGGGTAGCTAAAAAACATTGTATTGATTATGATATACTAAATAAAAACTTTAATTATATATATTTATTTATTTATAATCTTGTTGTAAAAAATTACAATTGATAAAATAACATAAAATAATAAAACAAATGCTGGAGCAAGAAAAACGCATTAGTGTCTTATCACCAGGCCCCATTTTGGCTTTGCCTTTATATGCTACTATAGATAAAATATTTGTGTTAACAGTTTCAAAACAGTTTAATTCATTCATATAGATTTTATACAGAATCTAGTTCTCTTAACGCTATTACACACTATTCAGGCCTTGTTTTAAGCATTAAGCGTAGAGCTATTTCTGTATGTGTTAAGCGATTTTAAGCAGTAAGCAATTTTTTATTAATATTATTTTAACAACATTTTAAAAAAGTTGCTTATCCAAATCACTTACAGCTTAAAATCGCTTAAGGCATACGTAAATAGCTTTACGCTTAATGCTTAAAACAAGGCCTGACCATTCTGTGACATGTGTCCTTTGAAAATACTAATTAAAATGCTTGTAAAAAGTGCACCTGGGCCAAAAACAAAAATGATGCTAATAATGATGACGATTTACCTAGATAACAAAAGAAAATTTTAAAACTTACAGATCATATTGTATAAGATCTTCAAATAATATTCTCACAAGAGAATGCTCTGCAAATGGCTCTAATGAAGCCTTGTCCTTTGCCTTTTGTAGGGCTACAGAAATGTGTTTGGGAAGAACAGCAATGCTATACACAAAAGGAAACACACGCAGGGTATTCTCATTTGTCTGAGAAGTTTGAATAGTTGCAATTGATGGTTCATAAGTTGATTTAAAGTCAAGCCCTGGTGTTAAACTGTAGGCAGATTTAACTGCACAAGGTTGAGGTGCAAATTCAGAATTTGAAAAAATATCTAAAACAACAGAATTACTAAACATGACATACTTCATTTTATTTAAAAAAATATTATCAACTAAAAAATGACCAAATAAGTTAGAACAATGTTATACATACAAATGTTTAAAACTCTTAGTAAGCTCATAAAATTAGTAACCTATTGAATTAGAACTCCGTTGTTGCTCAGACTTTGGAGTGACATGGATTTCATGAGTCCAAAATTGTTCGGACCCTAGAACAATCAACACTTCATTTACACAGTGCAATAGCACCTCATCGTCATCTATTTCTGTGCCATCAGAATTCAAAACTTCACATCAGTCATCACAACAGGGTTAATCAAGTTGAACTTTTTTTGTGCTGTAAAAAAACAACAATACTTATATTATTACATAAATCGATAAATTTTTATAATCATTATTAAATATAAAAGTATTGTAAATATAAAAACAACATTTTGTCTTTAAGCTAAACAAATTGTCAGCAACAAAAAACTTTTTCTGAACACTATCGCTTGTCCAAACTTTAAAGTTTTTCATTTTTAAGCAATAACTAAACCAAATACAAAGTAAAGAGTTTTATTAAATTTTTATTATGTATGAATCAAAGTCTATGATGCAGTTAATACTCTCAGTAAATAACATCAACAACAGATATTTTTTAAATTTACAATCATTTCAGTAAATAAATTATTTAAAATATATGAAACATATTTTTTCAAATTTGAAAAAATATGTTGTGGGTTTTGTTTTATTTTGTTGTAATGTTTAGGTTTTTTTAACATTAACATTTATGTTAATGTTAAAAAAACCTAAACACTGAAACAGAAAAGCTGATAAGAGTTACTAGTTTTATGATATTAGCCAAACATAACAAATAAATTACAATAAAGTTAATGGAAAAAGAATTAAAAATAAGTTTTAGATAAAAAGAACATTTTTAGTCATTTTGACTGGGGGGTTAATGGGGATTGTTGTAGTGAACGTCAAATTTAATAGATGGGTTGAGTTTTAAATTTGTATTTTTATTTAACATAAATTATTTTACCTTTTAATCGCACTGTTGTGCAAAAATATCATATTTTCACCATTTACAATATATAAACTTAGAGGTTGATGATTAACAATAGCTCCAGGTGTATAAACAATGCATTCGTCGCTCTTTTCAGTAATGTAACCATCAAGATGTGGGTTATAACCAACAAAATAATGGAGGATACAACATACAAACCAAAGACCGTGCAAGTATAAAATGTATTCAATTTCAGCAAACAACGGAATGCACTCTTCATCAATTACATTATAGACAACAAAAGTTTTTACACGTGATAATGTTCCATTACATTGCAAGCGATTGACAGACATAATCTTTTGATGACTACTTTTCTCAATTCCATACATTTGCTTAGTTTTTGTGCAAAGACTGGTTGAAAGTATTGAATAAGGCAGAAATTGATGTAAACCTGGAATAACCGGAGAACTCTGAATCCATTCATTTGCTGGTGACAAAAGAGCACACTTAGCCATCTGGTGTCTCTCAGCAAGAGTTTTAGTAATGTTTCAAAAGTTTTTCACACGATGAGCAATTTGTTTAAAATATTGATGTGTTGCTTCAAATCTTAGACACCAAAGTAATCTAAGAGGACCAAATTGGGCAATCATTCCTGGATAATGAACAAGAAAATGTATCTTGGGTGTAAATGATTTTGGGTTTAACCTTGTTAATAACTTATGGTGTCTAGTAATAAAGTGGGTGAGTACAGGAATCCACTCTATATCAATAATTGGTGAAAGAATAATTTGGCACATTCTTCTACATAACAAATGTAGCATCCAATATTCATTTTCTTTTGGTACAATTTTTCCAATATATAATGGAAGATGATAAAACAATGACCACCTCTCCACAGCTTTTCCGCTGATATGCTTATTACTGGATACTAAATTAAGTGGAACATTTGAAGGCAATGGTTTATCACAGCGTTCAGTAATCCCATATTTAAAAATTTTTAGTATATTTCTGAGCTCACAGATTGTCAAAAACTTATCTTTAACAAGGCCTTTTATAACAACGCTAAAATTAACACTCATCAGTCCTTCCAATATGTCATGTAATATGTCCTGGGGCATGGAATCGATTGGATGAAAATAATTTAACATAGAAAATGGGCATTCCTTTTTAACTGCATACACAGGCATCAAAGATGGATCAATTAACACAGAGTTAACATGATAATTGTGACTGGCTTTAGTTCGCAAATTACATTGACTTTCAGTTTTAATATCACAAATGTTAATATGTGGTACCATGCAATTTCGACAAATACGTCCAGATGAGAAACATGCAGAAAAACCACCAATTGTATGTGCAGACAAATTATCACCAGATAATGTAACAATGGAGCCTTTAAGATTGTGTGTTATACCTTCAACATTAATGTTAATACCTTCATTTTGAAGTATCATTAAATCGCTCAACAATTGTTGTAGAACTAGTGCATAGCCGTGTTCTTTAATAACACTATACTTTGAAATCAATGCTAAGTGAAAGTGGTTCAATGATGACCAATATTTACTCTCAATATTGCCAACAATAAAGTAAAAAACAGTTATTTATGAGTACCTTTTCTACTTCCTAGTGGGTTGCATACCTCAAGTTCATCACTATAGAAATGGAGTCTGATAAAAGAGTCACAACAAAAATGTTTTATTCGTGACTGCCATACCATACCATCTGTATAGTCATTTAGATAATCACTAACCTGTTTTTTATGCTGAAAACTACTCCAAACATCTTCACGTTTTAAATAACTTTTCAAAGTTGGCAATAAAGGTACATAGTGAAATTTAGCTTTAGCAGGATTTTTATTTTCTAACGTAATAATAAATCTATCGTCAATTGGTACAATATTATATTCAATCGGAGAAACATAGTCAAGGTTTAACTTCATATATGATTCCATCAGATGGTCTGTAGATGTTGATTTTGAAATACGCTCGTAAAAAGAATCTTCTTCAAGAATTTGTCTATACACATAATCTAGTTTCCAAATAATTCCATGTTTAAGTTTAGCACGAATTATTAAAGCAATACTGCTTTGATATAAGTCAAACAATGTTTGAACTTGCTCAAAAATTTGCTTTGTTACTGATTTTGGAAGCATAAATTTTTCTCTACAATATAGTTTAGTGTGACACAATTGCCTAGAGAAACACTCGCTAAAATCCATAAAATCTCGCACCAAGGACTCGTCAATATTTAAAAACACATTTTCTTCACTCTCCTTGGCATCATATTTCTCTGTTCTCTGATTGTCCAATTGTATATTTACAGAGTCTGTATTTTTGAGTAAAGACTCATCAAGAGCAATTTTATGGCATTTATTAATGTGCCATTTAAAAGTATTAGCTGTATTATACAAGTAATTACATTCTCCAATGCCACATACTAGATTCATAAATTTATCTTCAGAATGCTGAAGAAGCATATGATTAACTAGATCCCGACAAGTGAAAAAGTGTTTTCGACAATAAATAACTTTACACATATATATAGACATCTGAATTACTTTTAAAAACAAACAAATATTAAAATTAAAAATTGCTAATCAATTATTAACTATGAGCCAATTTATTAAAATTACAAATTGATTATATATATATATATATATATATATATATATATATATATATATATATATATATATATATATATATATATATATATATACAGTGCTTATACATAGCACTTATATATTATATTATGTTAAATTATATATATATATATATATATATATATATATATATATATATATATATATATATATACAGTGCTTATACATAGCACTTATATATTATATTATGTTATATTATATATATATATATATATGTATATATATATATATATATATATATATATATATATATATATATATATATATATATATATACATATAAATATACATTAAGTCTTTCAGTAAAATTATTACATCAGCCACATGAAAAGAAATAATATTGGTATATAATAAATCAATTTTACTTTCTTTTATGTGGCTAATGACATTAGCCACATAAATTATTACATTAGCAATGTAATAATTTTATTGGAAGACTTATTTTTTTCCAGTAAAATTGATATATTTATTATATGCATTGTATATATTACCGTTGTTATATATATCTTATATATAAAAACGATTTATAATCCGTAGATTTTTTCAACCATATTTTATTTCTTAAACAAAAATCTCGTTCAAATAAACAATTTTAAAGATTGAGTTTCGCGCCTTTTTTATAAAGTCATTGTATGTGACGACATATTCCCATAGATTATATATTTGCAATCTTAACGGTAAACATAACGGTTTACCGTTATGTTTACCGTTTAGTTTACCGTTATGTTTACCGTTTAGGCGTTATGTTTAGTAAACATAACGCCTAAAGTTTATAATAATATACAAATAACTGTGCCCAACATAAAGCTTTAGGCATATTTATTACTAACAAAACGTTTAACATAACGCCAAAATTTTCATTTACCGTATGTTACAGTTATGTTAGCGTTATATTTTTTGCTGTGTATAATTAACGATTATAAAAATTTAAAACATTTTAATAACTTATGCAATACAATCATTAAATCCTGTTTGGATGATGGACCCTGCAGGGCGTATAACCGCTTCGAATGCAAAAGAGGCATGTCATTCTAACACAAACTATATGTCAATTAAATAATTATGCAAAAAATTATTTGAAAACATAAAATATGGAACAGAAACGGAATATGTTGCACGAAATATTATGTTCAAAAAGTAAAATATTGTGATATAGATTTTAAATTTTTATATATTGGTTTTTATTTGAGAGAACAATACCTCTTCATTGGAACTTCTCCAGATGCATTGATTTGATACAGCTGTCATCAAATTAAAATTTAGAGATCAAATATTTTATAAAAATATCCAAATGGTTTTGAAGGATGAAAAGAAGTTAAGGATTTTCCAATCAATACAGATATTATTATGAAGAAAGAACACATTCGCCAAGAATAAGCTTCTGACAAAAGTTTGACTCAAACGTAATCTGTTTGTCTGAAACACAACCACCCCAGTCAGGAGATAAAAAACTAACTGCCCCAGCTGGTGTAATATCAATAAGATATTTAATTGTATTGTTATGTTTAAAATTAGACCAAGTTTGTTATTGTAAAGTTAAATTTTTTGGTCTTTTAATAAATACTTCCGTACAATGAATAATACAGACATAGTCTTTGAACTTTTTTTTAATATATAGGAAAGTTACTTCTTATTGTTCCAGGGTCTGGCCAAACAATGAGATTGACAACTCTAGCATAAAGAATTGGTATTATTGTTTTAAAAATTTTGAAGCTACTGCTGAGCTCAGTCTAATTTGAAAAGTAATATCTTTAATAGACCTAATTTTAGTTTTATGAAAACAATTAAGGGATTATCTCCAACAATAACCTTGAGTGAAATTTGAGTAATATAATTTTTAACTCATTTAAACAGCCACATACGATGGTTCTTTGAAAGAGTTAAAGCCTGAAAAAGAATTCATTTGTTTATCTGTTTGGTTTTATTATAAAATACATTTTTTAATTTTAAATTGATCTAATAATTTCATTAGATTTCTCGATCAATTCATTTACGTATTACTACTTAAATAGTTTTACTAGCTAACCTCATTCATCAAAGGACATACCTGATACAAAATGTGCACTGCAAACTCGTTCTTAACTAACTTTTCACTTTCCCAGTCATGGCGTACTTAAATACACGGCCTTCTATTCTACTTTAATTGGAAAAAAAATAGAAGGCTACTTAAAAAAAATGCGTATTTTGTTGGATGGACAAACGTTCTCAAAATATTTTAACTATTGCGCTATATATTTTAAGTAAATCTGACGCTGGTTAAAATTTTTGAGTTGGCTTAATCAAAAAATCTACTAAACTTCACCAAACCTTAGTTTTGGCTTCTTTTTAGTAGTATAAATAGTAATGCTGTGTTTATAGAAAATAACACAACATCTTTAACCTTCATAATTATATATTACTAACATTACTTTAGGAAGACATGTGTTGGATTTGTCAGTAGAAATTTTGGAATATTGAAGGACTGTACAAGAAATAAGAACAAATTCTCGAAAATAAGCCTTAAAAATATAAATTTATACCCAAACTGATTTACAATGTAAAACAAAATATTTTTATAAAGACAACAATGTTGTGTAATGGAATCACTGACTCTTTTTCTGATGTTATTGAAATAAATATTTGAAGTAACAGTGTGAATAATTTCTTTTCCATAATTTTGGTGATTTAAAAAATCATATATATATATATATATATATATATATATATATATATATATATATATATATATATATATATATATATATATATATATATATATATATATATATATATATATATATATATATATATATTTAAAAAATGGTTGGTATTACCATAAATTCTACTGCCATAGACTAACTTTGTTGATTTACGGTGTTACAATTGAGACTGATAAATAACATCAAATCCATGATCTAGCATAGCAAAACTGATCTAGCATAGCAAAACTCTAATTAAATTGTTCAGAGGTGGGCTAGCAACTCCATCATTACCGCTTTTAGAATATGTCACAGACATGATAAGGCTTTTAGAATATGTCACAGACATAATAACCCACCTCTGAAATTTAAATAATTATAATTATTCTTCTCTTGTTAAAAATTTTGAGTACAAAGCAACATACTTTAAACATCTTAATCAGTTTTGGGCAATAAAACTAGTAATACAACTGGCAACTTCACAACAATCTAAATCTTTTTCTTTGACCTGGTCCATCAAGGATCTAACTTGATGTGTACCTTTAATAGTATTAATATCATTTTCAAAAATTTAAATTCCTCCCTTCATTAAATTTTTTATTTGGTTATCTTCTTATTATAAATAACGTTTTTCAAACTGACATGGAACTTGCCACCACTTATATGGCGGTATTGTCCCAATCTTTTTTGTAACTGATCACTTTAAAAAGTCAATATAAGTTTTTAATTATCTTCCAACAGATCTTTTTTTAATGAAGACATAATAAAGTTTTTTGTAGTACTAATGATTTTGAGGAGATTATGTACATTTCTTAAAACTTGGAATGTTCGTGTATTTCCATTTATTTATCCAGACAGCAGAAGCTGGAAAAAACTTTTTATCATTAATAATAGCTGCATTTCCATGACGGTTATTAGAAAACTAATTTCTTGAATTTTTAAATGTCCACCACTTATTGAAAAGTATCTTTATCTATTATAAGTATTATTATCTAAACGATCACAAAAATTGGTTTAGTTGCTGCTGCTGTACTTTCACAGAAAATACCTAAAGCAACAGTGATATTTTTCTTGTAGTTTCCAGGATGGACTTTATTATTTATTTGCGGTGTTT